TGCACCTGAGTGGGAGACCAGGGGGAGGCACCCGGCTCCTGGCTACGAATTGGCACAGCTCTGGCTGTGGCGGCCATTTGGTTGGTGAACCAATGGAAGGAAGACCTTTCGTTCTGTCTCTCTCTCTCTCTCACTGTCTAACTCTGTCAAAAAAAAAAAAAAAGAAAAAGTATTATAAGTACTATCACAAAATCATGAAAAAGTACAAATCTTTTTTTTTTAATTTTAAACTTTAATTTTGAGATAATTGCAGATTCACAGTTATAAAAAGTAACACAGAGATATTGTGTGTATATCTTTTACCCACTTTTTCCAAATTGTATTATCTTGCAAACTACAGGGTAACATAGCAACCAAGATATTGATATAGTTCTTAAAATATAGAAGAGTTCCATTGCTACAAGAATAGCTCATATAGTCCTATAAGCCACACCTACTTCCTCTCCCTAAGAATTTATGCTATAGAATGGTTTAACATTCTACATTCCAGTCCTTGCCAGAATCTTAACAGTTGAGAACATGCGCACACACACACACACACACACACACCCAAAACCAGAAAGGAGGAATATCTAGGGAATTAATATTTCTTTTACTTGCTTTTTGGATTTGATTTGCTATATATTCAGTTAAGGTTTTTTTCACATACACGTATTATTGCTAAAGTTCTGTAACTTTTTTTTTCTACTCACTGGTTTTTGTTGTTAGGGTTATGTTTGTCCTAAAAATAAGCTAGAGAGATTTGATCATGCTCTATTTTCTGAAAACATATGTCAATGAGCTGTTATAGTATGAGATACAAGTGAAGCTATTTATGCCTTTAGTTATATGTGGAAAAAGGTTTTAAAAATAATATTTATTTCTTTTTTCTCTTTCATTCTTTCTTTTTTTTTCCTTTGTCAACAAAGCAAGATTTATGCAAGTCAGAAACCTCCTGCCGAAGCAGCAAGAAGGTGGCCTGAGAAACTAGTTCAAGTGGAGTCTTTTAAGCACAATTCAGCAAAAATAAATAAATAAATAAAAAACAAAAACAGAACAGCAGCTAGTAATCAATCAGAAGATGGAGACAAACCCATCAAAAAGCCTGACTTGTAATCCTGTCTAGCTTGATGATAATAAAAAAATAGCTATCAGAATAGTGTGTTTGTTAACTGCTTCTTTCTATTCTCATGATAAACTAAAATGACATTAATTTCTTAATTTCTTATGTGACTATTAAATATTACAGAATTATTAAAATATTTTCCTTTTCTGTCACTTTTCTGAATTTACGCTTACCCAAATTATTTTCATTAAATTCTTTAAGATCCTTTAAAAAATAAAAATGGAGCTGTCCCATGATTCAGCACTCCCAGTATTGGATATATATCCAAAGTAAATGAAATACGTCTTTCAAAAAAAATCTGCATTCTATGTTTAATATAGCACTATATATACTAGACAAGACATGTTATCAAGTTAAGCACTTATCAGGACATGAAAGAATGGATAAAGTGTTATATAAGTATATAATAGTATACTATTCAGGCATAAAAATATTGAAAACTTTTCATTTATGACAACATGAATGAACCCAGAGGACAATGTATTAGTAAAACATGCCAGTGCAGAAAGACAAATGTCACATTTTCTCAAAGACCAAAGGCTACTGCTATCAATATTTAAATAAACAAGGCACAAAAAGACAAACATTACATGATCTTACTTGAAGTTCAAAGGCTATGGTTATCTACATTTACATGCAACATTTAGAGACCTTTCTTGCCAGTTAAAATACATTCTGCATCGTAGGCCTTCAAAATTGTAGACAAGATCAAGTCTTGATTCCATCTACAACTTATATTTCTTTATGATATGAGGGAAGAGTCAATTTAGTTTGTTTCTATTTTTTGTATTTGCAGTATTCAAGGTTTCAAACATTTGGAAATGTCTGTCTGGACAAGCTATGGCAAAGAAAGTAGACATTTTATTGTAACAGAAGAAAAATCCTTTGATTATAACCTAGAGAGAGTGATCAGACCATGCTGAGCCCAATCTTTCTTTCTAAACAAAAGGAAACTTTTCTTTCCTTTATTTTGCGTCTTAGAATTCTAAGGTATTGTTTACTTAAGTAATAACAATAATTCAGGTATACTGAAGACATCTACAAAAATGCCACTTTTGTTCTAAAAAATATTTCTAGAGATTGCATAGTTTGAGATAGAGTACAAATTTAGCCGATGTAAAATTTCTAAACAAAGAAAATTTCCAATGAGAAATTTTTCATACATTGAATGTAATCTCTCACACAGCACAAAGAATTAAACAACATGCAAAGAGACCTGGCCAAAGTGTAGCCTTCTTATACATTGACTGATCCAGAAGCTGTGTTCCCGAAGGTGACCCTAGCCACCAAGCTGAGTATTCACTCAAGAAAACGTGACCTAATGCAGAATTCACTTTATGTGACCGACCTTGCTCAACCATTTGCTGGAATTTTCCACTTACTTACTCATTCTGGAAGTGCCCATTTCTACGTAGACCACTAGTTCATTTTCAGAGAATCCTTCATAACTTCCCCATATTCTCTTTGGTAAACATTTGTTCTCCCTTTAACAACTTTGGTCACATTGTATTAGTTGATACTGGGTTTGATTTATACTGGAGTCTCTCCCTCCTACTGTAGTAAGTGGAACAATATCTGTCTGGCTACTATAACTAGTGTCCAGCTCTCTTTTTTAGACTAGAACTCATAGAAGGGTATCTAAAGATTTATACCAAAAATGAAAAGAAAACATCAGTTTATGTCAACATCAATCCTCTTTGTGTTACAAGTAATCGTAGAGTTATATCAGCACACACATGTGCTGTACAAAAGGCTGGCATGATCCTTGTCAGTAGAAAAAGCAAGCTGGAGTGTTGCTGGGCATTCCGTTGGCATTCTTTAGAGGAAGAGTTCCTGTGTCCTAGCTCTCCTTTCTCTTGCTATGTCCCCAACAACTGGTTCCCAAACAGAGATTTTGGCACAACATGTGAGGGACTACTCACCACGCCTTGCACAGGTTATAGACAGGGGGTCATTTCATCTCCTGGATACCCTGGTGAGTAATCAACACGGGGAATTCCCTGTCTCTTCCACAACAGAGACACGAGGCTGATCTGCATTATCTCCTTATAACAGCAGGACATCTGTCAGAAAAGGTGATTGGGCACTTGTTGCAGGAAATTGGTAATCGCTGCCCTTGGTACTCTGATGAAGGCACTTTAATATAACTGATTGGGAAAAAAAAATCAAAGAAAAAGTTACCTCAGGAGCCTGGGGCTCCTGTTCCAGTTTTACATGCGCGGCATCTCTTCCAGGACGCCATTAATAAGGTTGAGAGCCTCTTGGCGGCTCTCCCTGGCCAGCAGTCAATGGGCTGGTCCCCACCACCTCATGATGAGACCTCTGTGCTTTCTGTGCCTCCTGTTGTGATGGTGGTGTCTGAGCCCCCTTTCATTTGTGTCAGCGGTACAAGGTACATTTCAGAAAGCCAAGGAGCAAGGATAATTGCTAATGTTAACTGTATGTCCTGTTGTTTGACCTCAAATTGCAGCTCTTCAGTATGAATATCTTCTCTACAATGCTTATACAGAGTTAGAAAGAGCTTAACAGACTACGGGATGCAGAGTTACTATACAGAGAGCCTATTGGAGGGAACTGGGGAAGAATATGAGATTGTACCCTGGGATTTTCCTGGAATTGGAAAATTCTCATTAAAATTTTGCTTACCGCAGCCCAGTGTAGTGTTTGGGCTCAGGAATATGGAGATCTGGGCTCTGTACAAGCCATAGATAATTTAAATAGCAATGTATTTATCAATCTGGAGCAGTTGTTAGGAAAGGGAGCTTATTCAAGATCTTGGTCAGCAAGTTGCTTATCCTGGAGGGGAAGCATATGTGCAAATTTCAAACATTGCATTAAAGGCTTGGGAAAAGATTCCTGATGTTAAAGATCCTTCTACTTCCTTTTCTGCAGCTCATCAGGGGATGATTGAAGGCTACATGTCCTTTACAGGCAGGCTAGAAAAAAAACTACTGGATGTCAAGTACATAATCAGGAAGTAACAAAAGTATCATTAAAACAAATGGCTTATGAAAATGCTAACTACAACTGCAAAAATATATTAAAAGCGGTCTGCATTAAGCCTGAAACTACCATTGCAGAAATGATCGAATTATGTCAAAATATATGGACCAAAACTTACAAAACTAACTTACTGGCTGCTGCTCTTAAGGCTCCTGATAAAAAATGTTGTGGCTGTGGAAAGCAAGGTCATCTTAAAAGAAACTTTTGGTCATTACCAAATCAGTTTGACCTTCAAAAAAGTGTCCACAGTGCCAAAAAGGATATCACTGAGCTGATCAGTGTTGTTTGTCCCTTCGGGAAACTTGAAGTCTGGCCAACCCTCAGGCCAAACACAACAGAGGATGTTAACTGTCCAACAACTCAATCCCCTCCCACAACCCTCCAATAGTCCTTTTATACTACTGCCCACAGTGCCAGAATAGATTTGTATATTCAGAGCCAATTTCTCTTGAAGTGCCTGGAGCTGTTTATAAATTTTCTACACAATTAACAGGCCCCTTACCTGCAAAGTCCACGGGACTAGTTTTGCCAACATCCCAAGCCTATAAAAAAGACATTTCCATCATTCCCAGAGTAATAGATGCTTATTATACAGGGATTATTTATGTTCAATTGTAGTTAGACTTACCCCAAGAACTTCCCTCTCAAACTTCTGTGGCTCAGCTACTTGTTCTTCCATTTATTTCTACCTCTAGTAATGAAGTTTTGCAGGGAGACCAAGGCTTTGGAGCTCTGCTAGTGGCTGCCTTACTCAAATTTCTTTTTTTTTCTATGTTAAGATAAAAGCAAAACTTCATTTTTTAACAAGATAGGCAGCTCCACCAGTGTTAACATTTCCCAGTCTCTCCAGCTCTGCTCCCTGCCCCTGTGGTTTGTGCCCCACAGTGGAATATCTTGTCACACCACTGATTGAAGCAAAAACACAACAGCACAAGTGCTGCCACTTCACCCAAAAGTGGTGTTTTTGGCTCTGCTCCTTCTGGACAGCTCAGTGGGTCATTAGCAAAAGGCCCACTGAGTACTTTTAAAAGGGAAAACTCAAATTTCTAGTAATCATCCTCAAGTGATTATACATATTGATTCCCAGGAGTTTTCTGAGTTAATTGATACTGGGCTGATGTCTTTGTTATTCCTTTACAACAATGACTTGCTTCGTGGCCTTCAATTTCTGCTGACGCCTTGTAGGAAATTAGTAGTAACTCCCAAACCCAACAGAGTCATAGTGGCTTGCTTGTTACAACCCAACTGATCATCGTCTTCTTGTTCATATCCATTCTTGTATTCTTCCTTATTCCCTTTCCTATCTGGAGATGAGAACTTCTACAACTTCAAACCACAATTCACACAAATTTATATAAGGGGTCTCCACTTGTACACACCCTCAACATACCACTCTCCCCTTGACATGGCTGCCCTGCTAGCTCAGTTGGTAGAACTTGAGGATCTTTTTTTTTTTTTTTTTTTTTTTGACAGGCAGAGTTAGACAGTGAGAGAGAGAGACAGAGAGAAAGGTCTTCCTTTTTCCATTGGTTCACCCCCCAGGTGGCCGCCATGGCCGGTATGTTGCTGCTGGCATGCCGTGCTGATCCGAAGCCAGGAGCCAGTTGCTTCTCCTGGTCTCCCATGTGGGTTCAGGGCTCAAGGACTTGGGCCATCCTCCACTGCACTCCTGGGCCACAGCAGAGAGCTGAACTGGAAGAGGAGCAGCCTGGACAGAATCTGGTGCCCCGACCGGGACTAGAACTCTGGGGTGCCGGCGCCGCAGGCAGAGGATTAGCCTATTGAGCCACGTGCCTGCCTATAACCTGAGACTCTTAAGCTCAGAAGCATGGGTTTGAGCCCCACATTGACATAAACAGTTAAAGAAATGGGGAAACAACCAGGGACAAATTAATCAAACAATGTCCGTTTCTTTATTTACACTTACTCATTTATCTTACCCTTCAGGCAACTTTGAGGCTACTGAAGCCCCAGTGAGAAAACATTTCACCCCCACAGGATGCACCACATCCATTACCATTTTGTAAAGAACCCCTTGATCCAAGTTTTCCAAGGGAAAGCACCAGAACCACTACTAATGTGGGGGTGAGGCTATGCTTCTGTTCTCTCCCACAGGACTGGTGGGCATTCCTAATCACTGGGTTTGCCCTGCAAAGCTTCATGAGTTGGCTTCAAGGCCTTTAGAACCCAATCTCTCAGTTCCACCTCAGGTTGAGGAAGGAAAGATGGTACCTTGACACTGGAGATTTCCTCACCCCAAGAGACCACAGGTTACTTGGGGAGACATCGAGTCATGAATTGCCTCAACTCATTGATTACTTCAACAAGAACACCAGAAAGAACCCCCTAAGACTCTCCTGATATCCATAATGGCCCAACTAACAACGAACTCATTACTGTTACTGTGTTGCCTTATGTTAGACAAATCTACCATATGACACAAGTTTTTTGTTGTTGCCTTATGTTAGACAAAATTTTACTTATGGTTGTCTTGTCATGACTTCATTGACCCTGATACACTGCTTCTTTTAGTGCATTCCATTTTTTAAAAAATATTTTATTTATTTATTTGAGAGGTAGAGTTATAGAGAGTGAGAAGAAGAGACAGAGAAAAATGTCTGCCATCCATTGGTTCACTCCCCAGATGGCCACAATGGCCATGATGGTCAAGGAACTGGGTTCATTACACACTTGAGAGATCCATAGTGGACTTCTGTCTCCTGGCTCTGGCCCCTCAACCCTGATTGACATTTGGGGAGTGAAACAGCAAACGGATTCTCTAAATCACTGTTAGTCATTTCTCTCTCTCTCTCTCTCTCTTTCTCTCTCCCCTCCTCCCTCCATCCTTCCTTCCCTCTCTCTGCATGCGTGTGTGTGTGTGTGTTTGTATTTCAAATAATAATAACAAGTAGAAATAATACAACTGAGGGACCAGCATTATATTTAATGGATGACACCACCATTTGTGATGCCAGCATCTTTTAAGTGAGTGCGAGTTTGGGTATTGACTACTCTTTTTCCAATCCAGCTTCCTGTTAATGTGCTTGGGAAGGCAGTGAATGCTGACCCAAGTACATGTGTTTCTGACACCCATATGGGAGACCTTGATGGCATTTAAGGCTCCTAACTTAGACCTAGCTCAGCCCAAGCTGTTGCAGCTATTTTAGGAATGAGCCAGCAGATAGTAGATCTCTCACTCTCTCTCTCTCTCTCTGACTCTCTCTCTCTCCAACTCCTCCCTCTCCTTCTCTGTCACTCTGTCTTTTCAAAATAAGCATTCTAGAAGTTCTACCTGCTGATCTCAAACCTTTCAGAAAACTGTATTCAATTATATTTGCTAGAGTTTTCTTTGTGGAAAATATTGCAAATGTTTTAGAGAAGAATTTGAACTGTGGGTGCAAAAGACTTAAAATGGCCATGAATAAAGAGATAACATTTCAGCAATTAATAAGTAAAGTCAATTATATTCACAACATGCAGCATTCTACCTAGGCCTTGTGAGGTTTTACCAAACTCTTATCCCACTTCAACCACTGATCCTGTGATACGAGTGGCAGTCTCCAAGATATTTCGCAGTCTTAAAGATATTTGCATTCTTCTTAATGAAGATAATAATCATGATTGACTACACCACATCAGGACAACCATATTTTTATAAGGTCATAGAATCTCTAGAAAACTTACATCAACACACACATAGATAAATATAATTTAAAGTTTAGCATCACTTGAAAATCTGACAAAACTTTCCATATAATCCAAATAATCCTAATTATCTATTATCTTTATAATATGAGAGATATATTCTTTTTTCTAAAGATTTTATTTATTTATTTGAGAGGTAGAGTTACAGATAGTGAGAGGGAAAGACAGGGAGAAAGGTCTTCCTTCCTCTGGTTCACTCCCCAAATGGCCGCAAGGGCCGGAGCTATGCTGAACTGAAGCCAGGAGCCAGAAGCTTCTTCCAGGTCTCCCATGTGGGTGCAGGGGCCCAAGCACTTGAGCCATCCTCCGCTGCTTTCCCAGGCCATAGCAGAGAGCTGGACTGGAAGAGGAGCAGCCAGGACTAAAACCGGTGCCCATATGGGCTGCCGATGCTGCAGGCGGAGGATTAACCTACTGCACAATGGCGCTGGCTCCAGGTATATTCTTAAATAATCCTAAGAGGAACAAATGGAAATCTCAAAATGGAAATAATTAAGGTAGAGCTTTGATTCTGAAAAAATGTCAAAAGTTTTAAATCACTTGATTACTGTGAATAATAGCCAAAATATAGAATTAATTAATGCATCTAAAATGTGGTATATGCAAATAATGAATTATTATTCAGCTATAACTAATAATGAAATTCTATTTTTTACATCAATATGGTTAAACTGGAGGTTGTAAGTTTGAAAGATATTAGCTGTACACAGAAAAACTACCATATGTTCTCCCTTATATGTGGCATCTAAAATGTCAAAACAAAACATTAAAACAAATAAAAAAGAAAAAAAGCTCTGTAAAAAATAGGATCTTTAACCATTGTGAAATAAGTCATTCATTTTATCAGGATTAGAGTTAAAGATGAAATATAACCAGAGTTACAACATGATCTTTGAAATATTTTCAAAACAACGCTGCCGGAGGCAAGATGGCGGAATAGGAAGGGAGCACACTGATAGTCCGGGGAGAGACAGTTTAATAAAAGTGGAGATACTGCAGGTTCAAGGAAGAGTAGGGGAGGAAACAGCACAAGAAACTCTCCTGGAACGCATGATTCACAGTGGACCTGCGTGGAGAGTGTGGGAGCCCACAGTTCGGGACACCAGCAGCAGACTCAACACACCAGCGCTGGAACACGAGGTGAGCCGAACCTCAATAGCCTGAGACACGGGCAGGCAAGCGGAGAGAGGAGACTAGAGGGAACGACCCCCCCCGGGGGGGGGGAGTTCACCAGGCTAACTGGAAGAGAGAGAGAGAGAAAAAAAAAAGGTGACTGGTACGGACACGGGTTTCTCTCTCTCCGCTCACCTCTCAAGGGCGAGCAAGACAAAGAGCAGGCGCCATCTTGGACATACGTCATAAGCAGAGCGACCTCAGGTCTGCACCGGCCCTGAGCCTAGCAAAAAAACCTGACTCTGGGCGGGGTGAATTAACAGGAGATTAGGACCTAGTAAATTTGTGGTGCTACTGAACTGAGACTGTGAAAAAAGAGACGGTGGGGGAGAGAACTCACGGAATTCACATGAGTACTCTCCAGAGACGCTACAATTCCATAACTTTAGCAACCCAGTGGGAGACTGAAGGAGAATTTGAGCCCACTCTGAGGGCAGAACAGATTCCCTGTGTGGTCCTTGGGAAAGAGCTTCCAATCTCTGGCTCCTGTGGGTATATCATTTGCCTGCTAACTACCTCCAACTTCGTTCAGCTGTGCAGAATTACTTCCCTTTTGAATCAAAAAAAAAGAAAGAGAGAGAGAGAGAGAGAGGTTTACCACGCCTAACCTGGGAGTGTCACCTTTGGCACACCAAACAGAGCTCTCAGGCCACACCCATCTCAAGCCCTAAGGCTCCATCAAAAACAGATAGTCCACTTAATCTAGAGTCATAGTATAACAAGAAAAAGCACCACAGTGAAGAAACCAAATATCTCCAATATGCCAAATAACAAACGCAAAAACCGAGGTAATAAAAACAAGGAAGTCACCATGACGCCCTCAAATGAAAAAGACACCCCAATTCAAGATTATGAAGATGATGAGTTAGAAGAAATGCAAGAAGCAGATCTCAAAAAATTGATAAGAACATTAAGAAGTTCTCAAAAACAAATTCTTGAACTACAGAAATCCTTAATGGACAAGATAGAAAATCTCTCTCGTGAAAATGAAATATTAAGGAGGAATCAAAATGAAACGAAACAACTAGTACAACAGGAAACTGTGATAGTGACTGAAGTGAAGAATTCAATAGATCAAATGAAAAACACAATAGAGAGCCTTACAAACAGAATGGGTGAAGCAGAAGAGAGAATATCAGACTTAGAAGACAGAGAA